GAAGATCAATGGGATTAGGCGATCTAAGTAGTGTTGAATTTGGGAGTAGCGGTTATTATCGCTGAGAGTCTGCAGTCTGGGTGTAGACGTGCTGGGTACTTTGATTTAGCTGATGATTATAAATGCTACGTTGTGTGCTGTTTATACTTGATCTTTGTTCTCTTGTTTGATGCTGCAAGACTTGGCAAGTATTCTTATCTCTTGATTCTAGATGAAGAATGAGGAGATTTCCATGTATACTTCTGAGATTAACAATTACACGAACCTGCGTTATAATATGTCTATATTAGGCGATTCTGGCTGTTTGAGTGGAAAATAGCCATGTAGGTGCGACATTTGGACGGTTGTAGATAACTCCTTTTGAAATGACTTAATCAGTTTAACCTATTTTTTGGCTAACTTCTTGTGTGCAAGAGGTGTGTAAACACAGATTTATTGGTTAATTTTTTTGGTGGTTTTCGCTATAAAGATGCTCTTTGCTATTGCCACAATCTGGCTGGATTTTTGTACTGAAGCATGACAGGAGGTTGAGTGGTTCCATTTTTATTGAAATGTGGGTCTGTGGTGTTGTTGTATGGGCTTGTCCAACATGCTTCTCATAGTTTAGTTGTTAGGATGGATTTGATGTATGGATATTGAAAGAGCCATTTATTTTGAATCTTGAACATCCGTTTGAACTTCAAATTGGAGACAAGACCAGAGGACGTAAATGGGGCACAGATACAGGCGTAGATACACTTCAACTGCTTTTCTTAGCAAAAATTAGTGCAGACATGCCATGTTCTACGTCTTGAAAAGTGTCTAACAATAAATACAAACTATGGACACACACCAGAACTAAAGTGTTGGCGTTTTCGTAGCTAGCAGGCAAGGAGAGTGGGCATGGAATTATTTAGAGAGTTTGTAGATATGGTTTTGGAGTGACTGCAGAATGGAGTCTATTGAGAAATTAAATATATTTTACGGGCAATATGTTTAATGGAAAAGCATAGGCACAAAAGACATTTTGGTTATATATTAATTTTGGCAGAATCTTTATGAATCTTTCAAGTTTTGCTGTGTCATAAATGATGCAGAAAAATGTGGATTATTATCTATGGTAATAACTGCAATCAGATTATTAGCTGTTGTTGAAATTGTGTTTGTGCTATTGCATGATTTTCAGCATTCGAAAATGATGTCGTAATTTGGTTTCTTTTCTCCTATTTCTCGCTGCTTTTTGGGAAGATGACGCTCTCTCTCTCTTCTCTCCTCTTTTTTGTGGCTATTAGAAGATGAACTTGTCCTCTTAGGATTGAGACCCTCACATTTTGTCTCTAATTATTACGGTTTACCAGATGAATTCACGTAATAAAATGCCATCTTTCCGGAAAAGTTGAAAACAGTGTAGCATTAAATTACTGTTATTACTGTAATGGGTTGGGGTTCTATGCTGGCTTTTACATAGTGTGCAACTTGGCAAAACTAAAGTTGTTTAGATCATTATGATTCTAAAAAGTCATTAAGCATATGACAAATGTCTTGCTTTCAAGATCTGCTTTTCAAATCATAAAATCTACATCATTAGGCGAGTAGGAATGGCAACAAGGTGGGAAATCCGCGACTCCTATGCTTTATTTTCTTCATCCCGCCCAGTCTCAAAACTAGGAATCAGGGCTAATGTTTGGGTACCGATTCTTCGATGCCTGAATTAGGTGCCACTGCCCCCCCGGGGAAAAGAACCGGGACTTTCAAAACTGCTTCCAAGACATGGGAAAACATTGTAACTAACTCCTAATTTGCTTATTAATTTTTGATAGATAAGATTTTTGTCAATTCCACATACGTTTGATTCTGTTGTTGTTAGTTCAAACTAACTTCCCTAGATTATTAAGTTTTACTTTCCTGGTTTCCTGCTAAATGTGAACGGTTTACTAATCCTTCTCTTAATTGCAACAGATTGAAGCTGTGGCTTTTCTTTGCCAATATGTTTGCTATCCTTCGTTTCTCTGCGGCTCAAGTGGGCTTATTAATACATAGATTCACATTTTGTCCAAACTGGGCCTTCAGGTGGGACAGGAACTGCTGGGTGTCTTGCAGTGTGTGTTTGTGTGATTCAGGTAAATATTGTCTTTTTAAACAATTATGTTAATCTCAGTTTTCATTTCTTGGTTTGACATATTTCTCGGCCTTTTCTTATGTTAATCAACTAAACTTTTGTTTCCTACAAGCGGGCTTAATTTTTGGGACTTTCGCACTCGGAATGATTTTGCATATCAGCAAATGCCCATGTTGAGCGACAAACGTTTGTATGGGTTACTTTTACTAATGGGCTGAAACATCAATACCCTGTGCTATATTTTCATTGGCTGGTAACGATATGAGCTCGTAAAAATCTTGAGAGAATTGGTGTAAGATACTGTTGCTCTGTCTACTGATGGTTCTTCCGAATCTTTCACTATAAATTCTAATGTCTATCAACGTTAGTTTATTTTGAAATGTATGGTTCTATACTTACTGGATGCAGCCAGAGGCCACCGGGACCTTGCCTTGTGTCCGGACCGATTGTTTGGGGCGTGGATATTGTGTGGTAAATAGCTTCCATTCAGCCGGTTAGGGTCGTCGCCTACGAATATGCAGCTCTCGGAGCATGCATTTTCCCGCTTTTTTCCTGTTTTGTGAACAAGTTTTATGCATTATGCGTTTTAATTTAGGGCAGCTCTCCTGAATCCGCGGAACAGAAAATGCAACAAAGCAATGGTTCACTCTTAATTATCATTTTGGCATTTCAGAAGAAGGTTAAAAAAAAAAAGGATAAAGTTTTATTCTGGAATTGAGTTTTTTATGTGAATTTTGGTTCACGCGGCGTGGGCATATTATGTGGATTTCACCAATCGATTGTTATGATAAAATATAAGGAAATAAGGTTAGCCTTTTGAATTTAAAAGCAATTAAATTATCTGGTTCAAAAATTAAATGTTTTTTGCACCATAACCCTTCGACTGTGCTAACGAAATAAAAAGCCTAATTTTTTTTACCCCAAAAAAAATACATTTAAAATATATTATTTTTTAAACCAACTTTATAATAACTCTACAATTTTTTAAATTGAAGTTCTCAGCTGTGGAGTTATTGTAAAGCTATCTTAGTTACGCACACCGTAATGGCCCCTATGCCCTATCGCCAATCGCATCGCCAATCGCCTAGACGATTTTGAACAGACTCTACATACAAACTATAACTTTAAAGGCTTTTTGTACTGTACGAAATGTTTATTTTGTATAGATACAGAATTGATAATTTCGTGACACATGAAACCGTCAACCCGCTATAGCAGGCTGGCAAAGGTTTGAATAGATTGATTTTTCTCCTAACTTTTTTTTTTTTTTTTTTTTTTTTTTTTTTTTTTTTTTTTTTTTTTTTTTTTAAAGTTGTTTTCAAATGTAGTCCTTCTCTCACAATTACTTTTTTCAAATGGTACGAGGTCATTCTATCAGTATAAAGAAAAGGGTTCGATAATTTTTTTATAATAAATATATTATATCAGACAAAACATATGATAAGAGTGTTATGAAATTTAAAAACCTATAAAGATAATAAAAAGTCACCTCAATGCTTATATCTTAACTAACAAAAATTATATCTTATGCAAAACTGTATTGTTTTTTTAATTGATAACGATGTAAAATTTTAGAATAATTTTAATGACAATAATTACATCTTAATTAGAAATAATTATAAATTTAATAATAATAATAATTATAGATCTGATTTTGAAAGGCATGTTGGACATAAAATAATTGCCAATTTATATAATAGATTTTCCTATAAGAGTCTAAGTAACCAAATAATAAGGTTATATTATTTTAATAGCGATAACATACTATTATTTTAATATATGGTTAGCTTTTTTATGTTATTAAAATGAAAAAAAAAAAAGAATTAAATCTTTTTTAGATTAGAGAACTAATGTCTTAATTTGTATTACTAAAAATTATAAGATTGAAAACTTTATCTCACTCATAAAAATTATAAAAAATAAAATAATAATAACACTATTAACATATGGTTAACCTAACCTGCAAATAGTAAGTAATTTATTTTAATTAAATCTAATGGTTCGTAAGAAGTCATTAAAATCTAACGGTATAAAAAGACTTCTTTATAGATACATAAATTTTCTCTTCTTTACTATAGTTTTATCCTAATTTAAAATCCATTATACTGAATACATATAATAATTTACAATAAAATACATGTATATAATAAGGGTAAAATGTACTATGTCATTATATAATATCTTAATTAACGCTGCTTTTGAAAAATTTAATTTGTCTTTTCTAATTTATGCTTCAAACTCATTTTTAATCTTTCTTACCAAAAAGTGAACAATTTCCCTCTAAAATGTAATGATAAAGAGCTTAGTTTTTAAACCCTCCAGTCTCACCCCCCATGATACAATCAGTCCGATTGAAATTTATTTTATAAAATTCTCTGAAGTTTATGTACGACGCATTTGGTTTAATTTCATTCAGTCGAGTCATTGAATCAATGTCCTTTATTTTCTAGAATTTTTTTTATTGAAATTCAAATTAAAACCGCCACAAAGATATCAAAAAATAAAGAAAAAAAAAAAAATCAAAACTAATCAAACTTCAGAACAGTTTCGGACATTTCAGTTACAAGTGCAAATGGATAAGTGGCTGCAACTGGTTGTAATGGTCACATTCTTGATATTTCAGATTTCATATTTACATTAGATGAAATTTAGAAGACGACGACAACTACCACTAGAAAAATACTGCCTTTGCTAGTTATATATATATATATATATATTTGCTAGTTATAATATATTATTATATATATATATGTATGTAATTATAATTTTATTAATTGGGTAATTAGAGCTTAAAATATCACTATATATATATATATATGTATGTATTTATATTTTTATTAATGTGTAATTAGAGCTTAAAATATCAACAGGAATTGCGTTAAAAAATAATTAAAAAGCAAGAGAACTCCAAAGATACTTATATCAACATGAACTAAACTAAAAATGAAACTTTTGATTTCCTTTTTTCCGTAAAATTGACAAAAACACCATTTTTCTTGTAGAATCAAACCCTCTTGAAAAGAAAAGAAAAAATAACAAAATACCCCAAAAGATGCAATTTCGCCAGCACCTTCCACTGCAGACAAAATAGTCCCTATCCTAACCTCTCTCCCAATCAACGACCAACTCTGAAAATTACCCTCTAATGGGAAGGCAGGATTAAGGCACCTGTGACTTATTGCACTATTTGCAAATGCAGAGTTCCAACCAAAAATCCACCTTCCTTCCATATGCAACTCATCAGCTTTCTTCAAAATAAAAAGAGACAAAAAGGAAACTAACCATCTGCCATCAAAAATTGGAATTTCTCAGATCTATTCATTGGAACAGCATCAAGTTTCTGAGCCAGAGTCAGAAGAGATCAGTTCAGAGGAAGCTCCACCCAAAACAGTTGCATGAGATTCAAGCAGCTTTTGCTGCACGCCTCGACAGACTTTCAAGGATGGTTTCTTTTTCATATACTGCAAAAAAACATGAAGTGAGAAAAATAAGTAGAGTTGAATTTATAGATTTGATATAAAAACCTCACTACACAGCCTTTTGACAATACTAATTTAAAAATGAAATAATCCTACACTGCAGCTATAATAGCAAATAACGTAGTAATTTAACTTGGTAGTAAATCAAGATTTTGAAACTAGACGAAATAATTAACCAAGAGTAAAAAATGCCAAATCCAGAACAGTGTCTCAACAGACTGAAAATTTGGAACAAGAAAGCTCCACAGCATAATATCTCTGAGAGATTGCAGCCGCAGTGAAGTAAAAATTGTTTACCTCCTGATAGAAAGCATTGATCTCCTCTTCCGTGAGGCCCTCATCTTCACCAGAATTTTCTTCCCACCCAAGAGAACGAAGGAATGCAGCCTCTTCCTCAGAAAATCTTTGAACTTCTTCATGTGTGCCACCATTGCTAGTCAACTCAGCACCATCTTTAATAGCTTGAGGACTTGTAGGAGCACTGACCACTTCCTTATTCACTTCACAAGATTTCTCACTAGTAGGAGATGAAACAACAGATGATGAATCTGGAAGAGCTGGAGAGCTGTTTGAGGTTTTCTTTTTCAGGAGGTTAAAAAAATCATTTCGGCTCTGGGTTTGAGACAAAGGTCTCTTTTCCACATTGAAAGCTGAAATCATATTTGAGTTAGCTGACTTGCGTTCGCCAGAGGAGGAAAGCTTAGCATTGTTTGGGCTCCTCAAAGGCACAGATGTAACCGAGGCAGGAGCAGCAAGTTGGCTATTTGCTGCTCTGCTGACATTATTAGTAGGGCTTGCAATATCCTTTGGAGATGGAGATACACCATTTTCCCATCCAGGTTTGAGAACAAAGAGTTTCCCATGAGATGTCTTTGGTGCATCAGTTTTGACATGTATGCCAAGAGATTGATTGGTAGGGTGCAATGCAGAGGACTGCTGCTGCATACTCTTGGCAGCCATATTCATCTCACCTGATCTGACCACTGTTTTGGGCTTTGATTTATCAGATGAATTGAGAACCTGGGAAAGGAAATTTAGCTAGTGATTATTACGCAGAGAGAAACAAAGAGAAAAAGAGAGTAGTCATGCATCACAATTTCAATGTGCTTTCTTTCCACACTCAAAATGGATCATGGGATAAAAGTTATCTAATTATATAACTCATTCAGCAATATTTGCAATGAAATCTTTTGTGAATCAATATGTGAAACATAAATGGAAAAACAGAAATGATAGATTGCAAATAAAGAATGGGCACAAGCAAGCAAGAGAATTGAAGCGCGCTTCACCAACCAAAAAAAAAAGGAAAAAACACATCTGGATAATAGTTCCACAAAGACACATTTTTCAACTTTCAAATAAAACTGCTTCAAGAACACATCCATTTTTAAGTTGCCAGCATGAGAGAAGTTACACTTTCCTCCCAGTGAACAGGAGTTCATTAATCCACATTTTTTGAAGACAATTTTAGAAGTAGCTTCTAAGACAACAGTCCAGATATCACTCCAAACCATCTTACACAGTGCACAGTGCACTACAGACTAAATTCCCAGCGTAAATATACACTAAATATGTATTCACGAAACTGTAAGTGCATTTGAAAGAACAACTGCCTGATAATCAGTCCAAAAAAGGCATCTCATGTTGAACACAGGCCAAAACCCTGGAAAAGAAACTTATCCACCTCAAACTTCAATTACTTGCTCATCTCACCTACTATAAGAAATGATAAGGGTAGTGATCTCTGAATCCTGAAAACTTCATTTTCAATCTCATTTTTCCAACTGACTAATAGATCACCTTGGGATAACCCAAGACATTATCACAACCACCACCACAGTTCCAACCCCATTTAGTTTTCAAAATACAAGTATGAATGAAAAAGAATGAAAAACTTCTAATAGATGAACATGTATCTTTAATGCTACTGAACAAAGAATGAAGTCACGCAAAAATTATTGAATGTTGTGCTTCACTAAGAACCAATTCACATAAAACTTTGAATAACAGCATAATTATGATGATGTTGATAATGATAAACAACAACATTAGATGATAATTCTTTCAAATCCAGTATCTGAAATATTATGGTTTTAAATTTTAATTCAAAAAATCAACAGATTGAGAGTTTGACAACCTTCCAGGTCGCCAACAAAGCTCATATCCATGGCATCTAAGATAGCAGGAAACAAGATTCACAGGATCACAACTGACTCTGGCAATTAGATATTCTTGGCTGGAAGTTTTCTACAAATCATCCGGCTAATACTACTAAAGCCCTTCCATGTACACAGTATTTGCTGGAGGCTTTCCCACCCAAAATCAAATTCAATAGATTAGGTTATTAGTAATTAGTTACTAGGATAATTAATATGTAATACCTAGGCTTTGATAAAATATACTAGTATAGATCTTGGTTTTCAAAATTACACTATATAGTCCCTGCATTATCAATCAATCATATTAGATGGTCCAGCTATTAGTTTTCAGTTAAGTGGTTATGAAATGTCAAAAATATTCCTGACAATAAAAGAAGATGATGAATAGTGTTGAGCATGAAAAAACAATAAAACAACAAAAAACGAGAGTAAAAAATGAATTTGGAGAAGGAATCCCAAAGCTAAAAAATAAAGAGTGGAAGAAGATTTCTGTAACTATAAATATTTGAATTCTTAATCTTTTATTGTTTATGAAGGTTGACTAATAGAAAATTATAAATTTCTAATGGAAGGACCTTAAAATGTAATGGGTACATAATGTAAGAACTAGATAATGTAATTTAAAAACCAAGGCCCTTACTAGTATATTTAACCAAACACTAGGGAATACATAGTAATTACCCTTAGTTACTCCCCAACACTAAAAATATCAAACTCAAAGACAGCAACCAACAAATGCAAATAAGATTGTCCGCAATATGACCATGGCCACCCCAAACAAGATTAAAATAATAGTTCATAGCCACATCATATGAAACAAATTTAGGGTTCTTAGAGGAAACAGAAGACATTATCATTGTAACAGTTGAGAGTTAAACCTTTGATGAATAGCATATAATTATTTGTAAAGATAAGTATAAGGCAAAAACAATAGTATAAACCTCACACTCACAGGTTGCGAAATAGGAAAGGCACAGAAAAAAGCAACAGTCTAACAATCTATGTTACAACCAGCTAAATAAACAATGATCCACAATCAATTGCTTATCCAGGTTATACTCTTACTCGTGAGCTGTTATGGGCAAAAGATCCTTGAATCATTTTTCAGTTTTGAAAAGCCTCAAATTCAGTAATAATGGGGCCATACTACCCATGACTTAAACAACAACACATGCTCCATGCTAAAACAATTTATTAGATGTTGGCCATCATATAATATCATAAATAAATTAAATAGAAGGTAAATCAATAAAAAATGTGTACCTTATAAAGCATATAAAACAAACTAACAAATCAGATATCCAAAAACTACAAAACTGTACAGCTATAAAACAAACTCTTGTGAATCATAGAAGCAGTGCTTTTACCGAACTCTTTGGCATTGAAGGTGTCACTGGTATCAATTGCCTCGATTGCTTAATTGCCAGTTCTTCAAGCCTCTGTGTTTGGACAGATAACTGCAGGTTGATAATAACTCCTCATTAGGCCACCCAAACATACAAGTATTATATAACTAGGAGAGGGCAAAAGTTACCTGCTCAGTTACCTGTGGAGCGGTACGGGTTCTTGATGGAGCCTGCGTCAATGCTTCAGCCATATTGAGACCAGCCATTACGCTTGGACATGCAGATGCTGAAGCAGCAACAGACTGCACAGAAGATAAGGAACCAGTGCTACTGTTTCCTATTAAAGCAGGCACCTCTGCCAGAGCTGAAGTCCAACCCTCCCCACCAATCAGAGCAGAACTACCAACAGGCAAGTTTTGGACAGCTGTGCTCAAGCTAGGAGATGAAACCCTTCCTATTTCAGGCACTCCTTGCCTCTCTTCACAGCCAAGAGAGGGAAAATCCTTTTCAAACACTGCCTTCTGAATGTTGCTACCAACAATACCCCCAGATAACAAACCATTGCCATTTGTATGGTTGCCACTACTCCCATTTTTTAAGTCCACAGCAAATCTTCGAGGCAACACCTCACCCTGTTTCCTTGATACCATAGAATGAGAACGTCGCAAAGTGTCCTTCTCACTTCTACTTGACAATATACTTCCCAAAGGATCAGGCCCATCACGGTCCCAATGGTCAACAAAGTTCAACCTCTCCTTGTCCCTTTCTCGATCCTTATCACGGTGACTTCTACTGAAACTACTGTATGCATGCTTCGCGGACCCATTAATGGAACTCCTCCGTGAATTAGAGGATGATGTTCGGTCAAGAAAAGCACTTCGGGGGGAATCAAAATCAGTTAAACCCTTAGAATTTCGATTTCTAGTGTGATGTGCTGATGATGAGACATCTATTTAACAAATAACACAATTACCATCAAAATATGATGCTGAAAACTTAAGTCAATCATTAAACGAGTCCAAAACTTAACATGAAAAACAACATAACTAAAGAGCAACTGATTGCACTGAAATCTCAGGAAATTAAACATACCTGAAAGAGAAGATGACGATGCAAAGTGGTGGACTGAACTGCCACCCCCTGAAACACTTCCAGAACTTCTCAACCATTCTGGAACTAATGTGGGTTCACTTCTTTCCATAAGTACCAATACTGAACATCATCAGATTCAAAAAGAAAAATAATACTTCTCTCACCTTCTTCACCCCTCCTTTCCTATCAGAATTGACAGTCTTTCTAAACAAAACTACTACCTTCTACCCCTAACCCTGTTCTCCGTTCCACAGTAATTCCCAATCTCAATACTCCAGTCACCACCAATTATTATTTTAGTCAACAATGGAAAAATAAACATCCAATGTTTCATAAAAAAAGTTGTTCTATGTGTGACAATAATAAGGCTTAAACACCACAAATTAATTTTGAAAGAAGCAGATTGCGAAGTTAGTACAAGCCCAGAACAGAAGAACAACGGCAATGACAAATAACCAAAACCCTTCGTCTCTGTGTTCCTCTATCTGTCTACGCCTCCATCTTCAATTAAAGATGGATTTGCAGATGATAAAACAAACAAGGTCAATAGACCCTCATCTCTAACGAAATCAACGGTATAAAAAGGTCCAACAAAAAAAAAATTACAGCGACAATAAAACAATATCCCCGATTCTAGAACACTTAACACCCATCAACAGTAGAATTCCGCGGAAACCCTAAACAACCGAGAAAATCAGGGTGTGAACACCCCAGAAGGGGTAATGCACACAAATAGAAACCCTAGTTAAACACAAATAACCCGTATCTGTTAGCAGCGTTCTAGGGTTTGAAGAAAGTAACGATAATTTAATTTAAAATTTCCAAAAATAAAATATTGAAAACAGAAACTATAGATGGAGAAACAGCCAAAGCGAGAGAGAGAACTAACCCTAGCGCGCTATGATTAAAGGCTGCTAAAGCCCAAAAACGTAACCGTTTCAATAACCGCTTTCGAAGTGTTAATATTCCCAATCCCAAACAATGCGTTTTCAGAGCAGAGAACAGACAGACAGAGAGGGAGAGGGAGAGGGAGAGGGAGAGAGAGCGAGTTTCAGTGCTACGGAGAGGCAGAAACCAAATGGTTGAGGGTTTGAGTATTTTCTCGAGAAAGAGAGGAAAAATAAAAATAAAAATAAAAATTAGGGTTTTGTTTATGTGAAATAGAGAGAGAATGAGAGAGGCGTAATTTCTGTTAGTTTTGGATACTGAGAATGAAACGTATGAAGAACAGCCTCCTTCTTTCTTTCTTTCTTGTTTTTTTTTTTTTTTTTTTTTTTAATCTTATTTTGGCTCCATGTATTGTATTTATATATATTACTGGCTTTTGTGCCCTATGCTCGCCAGTTTAGTGACTTTTCTTCCATATTTTTTCTTTTTCAACATTTTTTTTTTTGTTTGTTTTGGATTTAATTTCTCTTGTATTGCCCATTATTATTCTGGACCTATGACTTCTCATCCAATACCAATTATATAAACTAAATACTACTACTATTTCTTTTTTTTTTTTAAGAGAAATACTACTTCTATTTCTATTTTCACATAAATAAAAAAAAATTAAATTTTATCAATATTTTCATAATATATTCCTAAATAATATTATTTTGTACTTTTTATACACTTTCTTTGTTATTTTTATTAACAAAATAGTTTATTTTTTAATATTTTTATAGCTTTAATATTTTAGAAATTTAATAAAATTTTCAAATTGAAAATATGGGTTCCTGTTGTAAAAATTTTTATTTTTAAGTTAGCTATTTCTTTGAGTAGGAAGAAATGAATGTTAATACACATTTAAACTTTGAACCAATCTTTTAATATACATATTTGTGGATGGAGTATACAAAAGATGATTTTATTTTTATTTACTTACAATATGAATTGTAAATATAGTATTATTAAGTTTTAAGAATAATAAAATTCAAAACTTTTCTTATTCTCTTTTACTAATTTTATACTATTATGAAAAAAAAGGCCAAAAATGACATCAATATATAATTTATAGTTTTTTTTTTTTTTAGAATTATATAATTTACGGTGTTACTATTATACCGTTATAGTTAATTTTGATTGATTAGTAACTTAATAAATATAAGTTAGGCCCACGAATTTAACTATACTCTATCCCTCTTATTTTGTTTACATGGTTTGATGAAATATATATATTAAAAATTTAATCAAAAAAATTATTTTACCATTTTTTTACTATTAATTCATTAAAATATTAATAAAACTCACTCAACGAATGATCATAAATATTATCATGTGAAAATGAATTATTCGTTTGACCTGTCAACTTGTGTAAAAAAGTTTTGTGGCTTTCAAAATGACCTTAAGGCTCGTTAAAATTGGAAATTTGATACCATTGCATCTTTATTAATCCAGTCAGCAAAGCCAATGGATTACAAACTCTAAAGGGAGTGTGGGACTTTAAAAAAATTTACACATGGCAACTTTAATTAATTAAATATTATTTTTTTATCATTAAATTAATTAAAATAATATTATATCGTTATCTTCTTTCTCTCCCCTTTTCATTCCATCAATACTATTTTTCTCCCTTCTCCTCCTTTTCTGCATATCTCTCTCTCTCTCTCTCTCTCTCTCTCTCTCTCTGCTTTTCATTCTAATTTTTCTCTCTTCTCCTCCTCCTTTGTTGCAGATTTCGTTTTCTCTCTTTGGAAATTCATTCTATCAATACTATTTTTCTCTCTCCTCCTCCTCCTTTTCTGCAGATTTAAACCTACAATTTATTAATTAGCCAAAGAAAATAAAAAAAAAAAATGAATAACCCAGTAGTTCCATTCATTTTTTTTTAACTACTGAAAAAACAAAAGCTTACAAAATTTTTTTTTTCCGTTCCTCTTACCTATTTGTAGAAAACATTTACCCTTTGAGGCTCTATTGAAACCCGAATACATTCTGCATGTGTAAGAATTGCAAAATCACATATCATTCATTTTCAGAGTATATGCTTTCACTATACTCCAAGAACTTAGTTTGTTGTGTTATATGATTCTTTTATGAAATTCTTTCTTTTCCTACTAATTTTCTTTTTAATTTTCAAGCGATGCTTGTATTTTTTTAAATGAATTCGTCGGACACGAATAGATGCCTAGAGTTTTCAGTGAATTGGACACAAATAGTTTCCACTTCTTTTCATGTCCTAAACATACAGTGTTTTTAAAGAACAATATCGCAGATGAAGAAGCAAGCTAGTGGATCCGTGGTGTTGGTGGTCCATTCCAATGAATAAAGCAAAAAAATAAATCTTTTTGACTCCATTTTTTACAAGTGAATATTTTTTTTTACACATCAGCCATTTTTGTTTGTTTGGATGATTGTTTAATAGTAGCAAATTTACAACTTCAAAGGTCATAAAGACATTTTTAAAGTAAAGGAAGCCACGAGATTTTTTTGTACGAATCGGAGGCAAATGATGTTTTTGTAAATATTTTTGGATATAAAAAAAGAATAACAAAGTGAACCAAGAAAAGTCGGAAGAAGAATTAGTTGGAGCCAGTAGGGCCTTTCGTGGCCCATGTCAAATTTATACTTGCGAAAAGTGGGGCTTTTTCTCCTTCCAAAAGAGGTGAAAAACAAATTTATGTATATGGGAAGCCATTAAGGGTTTGTTTGAACGGAAGATTATTAAAAGTTTTTGTTTTTTTTAAACAAATAAAGATCTTTGAGGGTAATACAAAGTAAGATTAAATTATCAGGTTGTTTGTAAGGAGGGGAATGTGTATTCCATAAAGGGGAAAAAAAAAAAGGAGGGGATGTATCTTTATAGTTATTTAAAGGGTTAAAACTCTTAATTTATCGATCAATTAAATTAGAGGATTGAAAATAGACATAATCGGTTCCACAACAATCGGTTTTAGTTTTAAAATTGCATGTTTTGATTATAAAAAAAAATGAAAACAAAAATAGACCGTTTTTGAATGAATTTTAAAATGATTTAATGGTTTTCTTTACCCTTTGTATATTTATTATTATTCCATAAATATCTTTTTTTCATATTTACCCTTTGTATATGACCAATAATTACTACTTCAATTTAATGGTTTTCTTTAGGAATTAGTATTAAATTAAGGGTAATATAGTCAATTTACTTAATCATTTATTTGTAACTTAGACAAATTTAATGATTTTTTTAAGAGACGTGAAATTAATCATTATTTGATAACTTTAGACAATTAATGATTTATTTTTTAAGAGAAAGTAGAAATTTCAAAATGTGATGAATACTATGGAACAATGTAGAGTAATACTAACTCTGTTCATAATACTTGTCACATTTGAAAAAATAGCTTAGTTCCAAATACTATGTCACATTTGTGGTTTGAAAGGAAAAGTATAAATGTTTTCTTTTCATGTTCACCCTTATATAATTGCCTCATAATTATATTTCCATTAAGAATTTTTTATTAGAGATAATTAATAAATTAGGGTTAATATAGTTCAATTGATTCATATTTATTGAATAACTTAGATAATTTAAATGATTTTTTTAAGAACTGCGAAATTCTAAATGTAAAAAGTAATAAGGGAACAGTACGTAGAATTTTTGACCAGAGAGGATATTTATAAGGTTATAATATAATCTACTTTCTTAATGCTTTCAAACAAATTAATATAAAATCATAACTAATTTACTTATTTTTTCTAAACTATTTATTAGATTTGTTCTTAAAAAAAACAATATTTTAGTATCTAAGCAATATAAGAATATTACGCCAAACAATACCAATTAATTAATTAGTCATATCTCACGTTACTTTACTTCACTTCAATTAGCCTCCATAGACATTGGTCCAAACTATTAGATTGTATTTGATTTGTTATGCAAAATTATAATGAATACAGTCTTTTTGAAATTTAATGTTATTGTATAAATAAGGAGACAATAAGCAGGCCTTTAATGAAGTTCACGACCTGAAATCTCATGTCCATGTGCTTACATATATAAATAACTCCAGTAAGTATTTATGCATAGGATGTTATAAAATGAACTTAATTAAAGCCAGAAGAGGAAAAACAGAGAAGGAATAGAGAAGTAAATAAGAGAAATACAGAAGATTGTAATGAGATAAGTCACATTATATATAGTTATTATAAAATAGAACCCAATAGGAAGTCTACATAAATTTAGAAAAATAGATTTTGTAATAATTAAACATTATAAGACTTTTAGCCACATAGACATCTGTTTAATTCATAACACTTTGCGACAATTAATATCCTCGAATTTCCTATGTTGTTAAATTATGACAGTTGAATATTTAACTAAAGATATGGTATTTTAATGAAAACACAAATAGGTATCTATTCACTTCTTAAGACAAGTCGAGAAATAAATAATTTTACAATTTTAGTCAATTTTGTTATTAAATCATATAAATTTTCATTATGGAATATCGCAAGCGGTTTGTTGATGTGTAAGGTCTTAATGGTAGATATGTATTGCACTGCGCATAAGTGACTCTATCATTATATTAGAGAATACGGTAGTGAAAAATGAAACCACCACCATATAATGACATTATTAGATGCTTCTATTTTTATATGGGATATGAATAAGTCTAAACAAAATAGAGATAATCTAAACCAGCCAGATAGGTAAGGTCATAATAAAACCTCCTCAACTCAAATAGTACATCATATAATATAAAGTGAGGATGAAATACTTATATTTCCACCAGAACCAGAACCTTATCTTCCCACCCAATACCCCCAAAATTTGCTAAACACATAATAAATATGAAATTTAATATCATATGTACTCTATTTGTAATTTTATGTAATAATAATCTTTTTAAAAGTCATTTCCAATCTTTAAAAATGTTTAACAAACATATTATTTTTTCTATTGTGTTCCGTAAGTAAAATTTAAAAAAAACCCATAAATGGTTGAAATAAGTTATAATAGAATATGTTTTTTTAACCTAGGAATATCCAATAATGTATATAATATAAATAAAAAAACACCTGAAATACAATTAATTAATAAATTAATCAAAACTGAATTAATAAATATTGAAACTAATAGAAGTAAAATAAGTAGGTACAGATCCCAAGTTAGTATGGAAAATAAATCACTTTAAATAGGCACATGATGGTCTAAATTTTTCCTGTCGCATTTTGAATCATAAGTTAAAATAAGAAAGCTATGTGAAATAAATATGCTAAATAGAAAATAATCCTAATTCAATAAATATTTAATCCTTCCATTTGCTTAAATATCTCAATTAATTGGAGAGTGATGAAGTGTGCATTATTTCCTTATATCTTGTGAGTTTGATGGTTGATAATAAATTATTAAACTTTTTTATTAAAGTTATTAAATTATATCTAGGTTATGAGAAAGAGAGAGTTAAATGGTCTCGATAAAGAAGTTTTTCTTTTTTAATCCAATTATATATAGATGAAATCATAAAATATAAATTTTTTGGAAATGAAACAGAGTATTGCTAAGTTACTTTATTGTTAGCGGAACAATGTATTAAAAATTACATATCAATTCATAATTCAATGCTGTTTCATTAATTAAATTGTGAATATGTCCCATTGTGTATTTAGATTATCACAAAAATAATCAATTTGAGCATAGACTCAAACTACAAAAGTCACTTAAAATTCCAAAATAAAAAATTACCGATCTTATTTAAATCCAAATGGGTAATTAATATCTTTATGGAAACTAAAATTGAAAATTAAGAACACATAAATTAATTGGAATTAAATAATTTCCATAAATATAATAAATAAATTATATATAAAATTTTGTATTACATATAAATGCTACCCAAATGTGATAGTTTTCCCGATGTAGCTAGTACCTCTTATGTGCTTTAATTTTTTTACGGTTAGCCACAAAGAGAGTATAGTGCTAAAAATATTATTTACATATCAATTACACTTTCTTAAAGTGTATTAACATATTAACTCTTAGAACGTGAGCATAAAAATTGATCAGCTGTATCGTTGCTTAGTAGCCATGTGGGATCATCATTAAATTGTTGTCTACCAATAAAGAACAATTCCTGAGGAAGTTAACATCGTGACATAAATTACTTAGCCGTCACCCTCGCACCTTCGGAGGCTCACCAAAGCTCCTCCAAATCATAAGTGAGTTGATTAATTAATTCAAGAATATGCTTAACTGTTGTTAGTAATAGTGTGAAAAATTGTGCCCAGAAATTCCAAGTTAGCCAAAATCATGATACCCAACTCTCAATTTGATCTGTTTCAATTTTTTTATAAAATTTTTTTTACTTTAATTTCTTATTCACTTTTAGGTGAAACATGTTAGTATTAAATTAAGGGTAATATAGTCAATTTACTTAATCATTTATTTGTAACTTAGACAAATTTAATGATTTTTTTAAGAGACGTGAAATTTCAAATGTGATGAATACTATGGAACAAATGTAGTAATACTAACTCTGTTCCATAATACTTGTCACATTTGAAAAAATAGCTTGTTCCAAAATACTTGTCACATTTGTGGTTTGAAGGAGTAATAAATGTTTTTTTTCATGTTCACCCTTTATATATGCCCAATAATTATTACTTCAATTTAATGATTTTCTTAGAGAATTAAATTAAATTAAGGGTTAATATAGTCAATTTATTCAATAATTTATTGTAACTTAGATAAATTTAATGATTTTTTTAAAGAACTGGAAATTCTAAATGTAAAAAGTAATATGGAACAGACGTAGTAATTTTTGCAGGAGGATATTTTTATAAGGTTATAATTAACCTTACTTTCTAATGCTTTCAAACCAAATAATATAAAATCATTAAACATTTATTTACCTTATTTTTCTTCTAAACATATTTTTGGATTTGTCTTAAAAAAACAATATTTTATTATCTAAGCAATAATAATGAATATTACATCGCCAAACAATACAAATAATAGATATAGTCATATCTCACGTTACTTTACTTCACTTCAATAAGCCTCCATAGACATTGTCCAAACTATTAGATTGTATTTGATTTGTTATGCAAATTATAATGAATACAGTTTTTGAAATTTATGTTATTTGGTATAAATAAGGAGACAATAAGCAGCCTTAATGAAGTTCACGACCTGAAATCTCATGTCCATGTGCTTACATATATAATACTACCAGTAATATTTATGCATGATGTTATAAAATAATATAAAGCCAGAGAGAAAAAGAGAAGGAATAGAGAGTAAAATATAAGAGATAATACGAGAGTTGATGAGAAGTCACATATATATAGTTATATAAATAGAACCCTAATAGAGTTCTACATAAATTAGAAAAATAGATTTTGTAATAATTAACCATATAGACTTTTAGCCACATAGAACATCTGTTTAATTCATAACACATGCACATTAATATCCTCAATTTTTATGTTAAAATTATGCACATTAAATATTTAACTAAAGTATTGTATTTTAATGAAACAACACAAATAGGTATCTTCACTTCTTAAAGACAGTGAGAAATAAATAATTTTCAATTTTAGTCATTAAACAATAAGAATTTTCATTGATTAATGATATGCATGCAACTAAATTATTGACATTGATGACAATTATATGTTTTTTTTTTGGTCAAAGAAAACGATAGGCTTAAATCCACTAATTACATTATTTTATGAACTAACACGCAGCTACTCCCATTTGCCAACAACTAAAGTTTTTGTTTTATTATATAATCTTTTAGTCATTTCAATCTTTTAATACTTTTTTTTTCTCTTCAGAAACAGGAAAATAAACATGTGTTTCATCATTTTAATAAAAACACTGAAACATATCAAAATTTAATAAGATAAATATACCAAAAAGAGAAAAAATAGTAAAAAAGATATTAGAACACCACATATGGCTGAGTTAATTCCGCATTGAAATCTGTAGACCATGTGACAAATTTATAAGCAAAATAACCTATAAAAATAATTATTCCATTTGTATGATTGGGTATATGACAGTAAAATTTTTATTTATAGCTATTTTCTGTGTGCAATTCCTTTTTAATCCCATTTAAAATTAAATTTAATGTATACGAGTGATTAGCTTGTTAAAAATACATTGTATTATTAATATTTCCTTTATTTTTAAAAAATATGCAAGACAAAATAAAAAATAAAAACAAAAAAAACGACCTTTACATGGAATTTTATCTTACTAATATTGAAATTAAAATAAATTATTGGAAATATCACAAATTTAAAATTTAAAATTGATGCTCATGGAGATGATTCGAACTATATTTTTTTTTTTTGGTTGCAAGTATAATTTACTCATTATACTATTGTCTTAGACGTGCATGTCATGTGTTGGTGTACATATTTGCAACCAAAAAAATTGGAATTAAGTGACATATTTGCTCACCTCAGTCACAAAGCTCACTGGTTGTTCATCAATGACGTTAACTAATAATGGAAAAGCAAAAGTAGCAATTGATCTGTTTTTTATAAATTTTAACCACACAGTGACAGGCAATAAATGAATTACTAATAAAGTGATGAGTAAACCAGCGCGTACGGAAAGGCGTAGGTTTTGGAATATGAAACCAGCCGTACCCAAACAGAACACATCCTTCCAAATCCAATCAACCCCTGTTATCATGCCACGTGTCACCGCGTTTTCACTTCGATCACGACGGCGTTTACCAGTCTCTCTCTAGCTTTGTCGTCCTCCTTAGTTTCTCGCTGTCTCTCTGCTTTCAACCATTACGACTCTTGTATGGTCAGCCCATATCTCAACCAAATTCACCGCACCGTCTGCTTCCTGAAAATTTCTCGGAAAAGTGACAGAAAATAGATAAAAACAGTTGGGTTTTTCAAATTGTAGCGTGGCTCTCGTGATTTTAGTTTTGGAAATTTAGATGGATTTGCGTCTCTATGCATCAGTTGCCTCGATTTTTCATCCGTAGGAAGAAAGACGGTCCTATGGACCCTAAGAACCGGCGGAGGCCGAGGTTAGAGCGCCGAAATGCGGCGAAGCACATCGAGTACGATGCGACTTCGTCTTCCTCCTCTATAGACGACTCTTCTTCGTGTTCTTTGGTTACTAGATCTCTTGATTTGTCTGATCGGACTAGTTTTCGGATTGACGGAAGGGATGGCGAGTTTGACCAGATTTGCCGGAGCTTAGGGTTGTCAGGTCCCGAAGATTTCGCGATTCCGGCGGCTGCTTGGGAGGCGATGAAGGTCCGCTCAGCGTCCGATCTTCTGCCCCGGTCCAGATTTCATGATATGGACAGTCCAAGGATAGTGGAAGAGAAACAGCATAATAATCATCAGCCGCAGGAGCAGGAACAGGAAGAGAGTGAATTGTGTGCTAGGGTTTTGGATAGTGTTAGCATTAGTAGCGAGACTACTGAATTAACTCAAGCTGAGCCAGTTGAGCCTGCTAAATTAAATGTTCACTGTGGTGCTGCTTCTTGTGCAGTAGGAGGAGGAATCAAAGGGGTTAGGCCGCCGTTGCTGAAGCCGCCGCCTTCGATGACACTACCGGTGATCGATAACGCATGTTCGACGTGGGATATACTAAGGGATTTTGCTCCTGAAAACGATAGAAGGTCTTTGGTGATGACTCAGGACTTCAGTTCTGATGACGAGGAAGGACTAGGTGATTTGGCTGCTAATAAGAGAGAAGAAAAGGAGATTTTGTTGAGGATAGGAGAAACAGCTGTCTTATCGGAGTCTTGCTCGTTTACTACGTCTAATGACGATGATTCATCGAGTACCACCACGGAGCCCACCAATATTTCTCCTAATGGAAGATTTAGAAGGATTATTACTTACTGGGAAAAAGGTGAGCTTCTGGGACGTGGTTCGTTCGGATCGGTGTATGAAGGAATCTCTGAGTAAGCGCTCAACCTTTGTGCGGTTATTATTTTACTTCTCGACATAACTCTTTAATTATCATTTGATTTCAGACTAACTTTGAATCTGATTTTAGGTTCTCACACATCCGTGTCAAAGCTATTCTTGAGTTTTTAACTCTCGATTTTATAGGTTTTGTGGTTGATTGAAATCAAAGTTTATAGTTAAAATTTAGGAAGACGACGTACGCTAAACATTTCTTCGGAATCATAGTGTAAGAATGCCATGTGCTTGTCCATTTATGACATACTAGATAATGCATATTTTGGAGGACATAACGTGAAAATGTTTATATTCTTAAAATTAGTACAAGTAGTAAACTCTAAGTTTTTTGAAGTCATACGAATAACAACAAGAATATCTAATCCTCAATTCCAAGCTAGTTGGGGTCGGTTGCATGGATCAAAGCTCGATTTGTGTTAGTTCTTCAGCATATTTATACAATTTATTAATCGTAATTCCCATGGAATCTTGGCCTTCCTCTCCCTTTCCTTTCTTGTCTAGTTTAAGATGTTTTGTTTTCCTTGAGGGGGGCTTCCAGCAGTCTACAGCAGACATGGCCAAACCTCGTTAACCTTCCTTCTCTCATCCACCCCCCAAACCCCCAACCCAACCCACCCACATCCACAGACACATACACACAATAGGTGTGGCTCCTTCCTTATCACGAAGGCATTCATTCAAGTTGTGTGGCCACATATCATCTCAACATATTTTCCAAGAATTAAATTTTGTGTGTGATTTTTCTTTACTGTCAACACTCAATGTCCTACATCATAACTAGTCAAATTGCAATTCTATAAGACTTGCCCATAAGGTTTGTTGGTATTTTGCAGTCACACAAGAATCCGGTAGCATTTTCACCTCTTCATCCATTCTGCTTTAATCTGATGATCAACTTCCAAATCTTTCCCTTGTCGCTTTGGATAATAGATCCATTGTTTGGGGCCATATATAAAAGTGCAGTTGATTACATCTTGAAGATTACAACCTTTTGATCCTTTATTTGCCATGTTCCAATCATCCTTCATTTTCATCAATTTTCTAATATTGTGTTGGGTAAGTAGTTAAATTACAAAAGTTTGTGAAGGTGCAACGTAATCATAATTATGTTCTGGCTTTGCAACGCAGTGCTCATTACAGCTTTTAAAATATTGCTTCATTCTTTATATTAAAGAATGGTAAGGGACATTTTGGAGCTAATCTTGCTTTGTTTATTATTTATTTTTGCAGTGATGGATTCTTTTTTGCTGTCAAAGAGGTTTCGTTGCTTGATCAAGGAAGTCAAGGCAAGCAAAGTATTTACCAACTTGAACAGGTGAAATAATCACACTTAGGTTTTTATCACACTGCCTTTTTTTTTTTCTATTTTCATCTTTTAAATATTATAAAAGGGATTTCTTTGGAAACCTGAACTAAAATTTCTTTATCAGAATTCCCCTCCTTTTCTCATAACATTACCTGCCTGTTCGTTTCAGGAAATTGCTCTTTTAAGTCAGTTTGAACATGAAAACATAGTTCAGTATTACGGCACTGATACGGTACAATCTTTTCACTTTTCACATTAGTTCTGCATTTACTTCTCTGATCTGTATTGTTTTGGACATAATCATTAGAAACAAAGACATGACCTCCTCCTTTTGGCTTCATCTTACTTATGCATGCTGTTTAAAAAACATATCCAAATTTTGTTAAAAAAGTTTGTCATATAAAATGTTTATTCAAGTTCCAAACTTATGGAAGCTCCCATTTTTCTTTTCCTTGAATTCGTTTCTCAGAGAATATTTTGTATTGAAACAAATTGTTCCTATCTTGGAATACATTGTAACACAGCGGCAAGGAAAGTGAGCCATTGTATTGGATACATTTGAAATATTTTTTAGCTCTAGATAGATCTGATTAAATGGTTGGAACTTTAAACTGAACTGGATGGAGAATGATAGCTTGGTAACTTGCAAGATGTGATAAATTTTCCTACCGATATCACCTGCGTGTTTTATCTTTGTATTTCTTCTTGCTTGTTACTTATAACCATACTGGCATTTCACGCGTGCATGTATTTGGTCGTTAAGTTTGTTTCATTTATTGATTTTTTGCAGGATGAATCTAAACTATATATCTTTCTTGAGCTTGTAACAAAAGGTTCCCTTATGAGTCTCTATCAAAGATACCATCTTCGAGATTCCCAAGTTTCTTCATACACAAGACAGATTTTGCATGGTCTGAAGTACCTTCATGATCGCAATGTTGTTCATAGGTGAGATAAATGCCTTTTATTGGGTAGTTTTCCAATGGTTAATGGCTGTCATGGTCAGACCAGATTTTTTGTTATATAGTGATTGAAATGTATGTTACTTGTATCTTATCTCTTTATCATTACCCCATTCTGTTTAGGGCTGCATCTTGAGACATATTAGTGCTGCTAAATTTTTCTTTGTTATCTTACCAGTGTCATCCTAGGTGTACACCTAACTTTGATATCACTGTACTTCTCTACTTGTACATTGATATCAATTATCTATGCCATTTAATTTACAAACTTGAAGGAGTAATAGTTTTTGCTAATTAAAGATAGTTTTAATCCTCTTTTTTTGTTGTTTGATTAGCACATAACCTTGTCTTTCATATTATTTCTTTTATTGACAACTCTTAATATGATAATCGCTGAACTCTGCTTGTCAACTCTATCTTATCATCTTTACACTTATTTTGAATGAAACTTTAAGAGCTCTAAGGATACTATGTGGCAGTTCTAGTTATAGGTGACTAGGTTCTTGCATGACCTTTGGTTTTCTAAATTTTTGTTTCTGAAGTTCAGTGCAATTTTTGTCTCCTCAAATTTTAACTTTCTATCATGGGTTGGCTTGCAACACAACATAACCATTCATTTCCACCCTTTTGGCATCTTATATTTATTTCCTTAATTTAATCAAGTAAGCACTGATTTACATTTTACAATATAAGAGCCGTTAGCATTTGATATGTGCACAATATTGGAGTGCACATGCTAGCATATGTACTATGGAACTTATTTTCAGTCATCTCATTCCTATTTGTACTTTAGGGATATCAAATGTGCAAATATATTGGTGGATGCAAATGGATCTGTGAAACTTGCAGACTTTGGATTGGCAAAGGTTTTTATCCTACCCTGATTTTGATCTTTTTGCCATATTCTGAGTGTTGGTGAATTTCTTCTCTAAATCATTTGTTGTTTTCTTTTCAGGCCACCAAATTGAATGATGTAAAATCTTGCAAGGGGACTGCATTCTGGATGGCCCCTGAGGTGTGTATATGAATCTGTTTCTCGCACAAAATACTTTATGTGCTAGCTTTGTTATTTTTGCTCAGTGTTCTATTCCTTCAGCAACATTTCCGACTTGTACTTGTATAGTAGTCTTTTATACAATATTTCAGTTAGGTGTTTCTGATTACCAATCTCTATATGGCAGGTTGTCAATAGGAGAAACCAGGGCTATGGGCTTCCGGCTGATATATGGAGCCTTGGATGCACTGTTTTGGAGATGCTAACGCGTCAGATTCCATATTCCCATTTGGAATGTGTAAGTGCCATGTGTTCACACTTCCTCCTGTCCTAGATATCATTGTGATAATACTGATGGCGACGATGATGGCCTGAGACTTTTACTTTATTTTTAGCTATGCTTTTGTGTTGGCTAGTTAATAAGTAATTCTACAATCAATAAGGTGTTGAGTGTAAGTGCTGTTTGGGCAGCTCGACTTCTATTTTGGCTTCTAATGGCTTATCCCTTCTACGACTCAACAGATGCAGGCATTGTTTAGGATTGGCAAAGGTGTGCCGCCACCTGTTCCTGATTCTCTTTCGCAAGATGCACGAGATTTTATTTTGCAATGTCTACAAGTTAACCCCAATGATCGTCCTACTGCTGCTCAGCTCTTAGATCATTCATTTGTGAGGCGGTCACTTTCAACATCTTCAGGTTCTGCATCACCTTATCTTGGCCGACGGTCTTAGAAGCTTTTGCTGAGTTACAACTGTGACAGATGTTTAGGTAAAATTTATCTTCAAATTGCTACTCTCTATTTTTAAACTATGAAAATAAAAAACTCTATTTTTACAGCCTCCTTTTTTAAGAAGAAACACTATCATGTGAAATGCCTTGTTGGTTAAAAAAAAAATCCCTCATATTGCATCTTAGATTAAGGTCGTCTGTCTGACTTCAACTTTCGGTTCTCTTTGGTGTTTTATTGTTTTCGCTCAATGAATTGATGAGTTTGCTCATGAAAACTTTGCTGTCATGGCAAAGTGTGCAGGATTGATTTATCTTGTTGCATACGAAATGTGCGGGGACTTCTTGTTAGACACTGGCAGCAATTAATTTTTGATTGCATTCAACTCGAAGTCCATGTGGGTTAACCTCCTGATCTTAAGTTATTGAAATTTGCTAGTCTGGTTTTTGATTATTATTTTGTAATGTGGGAAATTGTAGGAGGAAGGCTTCAATGAGAGCAATTGTTGTAAGAATTACAGAACAGATACCCACGTGTATATATTCTCATTATTGTAGCAAATGCCAGTATTAATCCTTTTTTTTTTTTTTTTTTGGTTGTGTATTCTATTATGGCATAAATGTATTTCGAATTATTTCTTTCATGGGAATGTCCGGCCCCATTCGGAGGGACATGTTGAAGCCTTAGTAAGTATCAAGGATGAAGCCTTGGATTTTGCTAATTGTATTTTCTATATGTTTTTCTAGGGATCATGCTTTGTTGAAGAAAGCTTCTTTATTAACTTTTTGCTCTGCCCTCTTAGTATAAAACGATAATGGAACTGAATAAAGTTAATCACATTTTCTGGTAAATATGATATTCTCAAAATTAAAATATATTGCAAAAGGGGAAAAAGGTCCGCATGAACTAATTAATTTCCAATCATGTCTCATTCTCGACAAACTGACTAAAAATTTTCCATTTAATACTATACAAAATCCAATACTATTGTCATGTAATTGAAACTTACATATTGTATATATAATGTTTTGCATTAAGATTGAAAAGTTGCCGATTAAATATGGTTTGGTTGGTCAATCCTTTTATAGAGGATTGCCAATTAAATGTGGTTTGATTGGTCAATCTTTTTATAGAAGATGTAATGGGTGAGAAGTATCGAGTTTCACTTCCACGAGGTTAATCTGACTTCCCATATATCTAAAGACAAATTAAAAAAAATTGCAAATCTAATTGATAAATATAAACAAGTTTTGTCCTCGTCATGTCCGCATCCTTTTGTGGCTTTGAAATGGGCTATAGATTTTGGTCTCAGAACGAAACCCAACCGATAAGGCCCGACCCAACTCCAACTACTGGAGGCCACTAGAGAGTAGAGAGCGCCACATGGACAAAAAGTGCTCCGGTCAGGAAGGGGGAGAGTATCCGATCAGATGAGAAACAGATACACAGCAAGATTTGTATAAATATCGTAAATCGTAATGGTGTCGATAAATGACAGTCACCGCAGCCAATCAGAACAAGTAATTTAAAATCCCTTTCACACACCCCACCCTCCAACGCAACCTACGGCGAACCTGACCGCGAAGATCGGGTGTCGCTCCTTCGCCTCCTCTACGCCCGTAATTATCCGCCTTGTTCGACCCAACGGAAAAGGACAATAATAGATATATTTAAAAGAAAATTTCTTGAAGAAACTCCTTTCTTCGTTTTCCTTTAATCATTGATTACCTGTCTGCTGGTAAAAATTCTTATTCCTGTTCTATTCAATTCTGTTTTTCAGTTTGTTTGTATCTTATGATTCCCATTCCTAGGGTTTTAGATTTAAGTGTTCTGAGTGAATTTTGAGTTTGGGATGATCCAGCTGTTATCCAATCCATTCCTAAGGATTATATGTTTAATGCCTTGATTTATACTTTTATTCTAATTTGTTTTAATTTCGTCCATTTCTTTTAGTTTGCGATAGGCAGCATTTAATGCTTATTTAGATTTAGCTGGTATTCGACATTTTGGCATTTCGAATACTAAATTGAGTAAACTATGACATTTTCAATTTGGACATATTTTCATATTGTAATGACTGTATGGAACATTTTCAGAGTGTCTTTCAAACTTGAAAAAGAAAGAAAGAAAAAAAAAAAAAAAAAATCCTCTTTTGGCTCTGTATTCTGATTCTTGAAATTAGTTTGACATATATAATATTTAATTTAGAAGAAAATTAAGGCAATTAAGAAAATTCAATTTAGAAGAAATTAAGTTTTTTGATGTATAATTTAATCTGAAGTGAAGGAATTACAAAGAAAATTATTTGATTTTGAAAACCCAAAATATAATGATTCTTAGCTTTTGGGTTTAGCCCTAGAATTCAATCTATAGTTTAGCATTTAGTATTTATCTACTTCATGAAGTTGCTGACTTGTAGGATTCACGGTTCGATTCAATTTTTATGCTAAACAATTCGAATCTTATGGGTGAATCAGAATTGATAGTGAATCTTATGATTCGAGTTGATTCTCATGTTCAACGATTCTTTTACCCAACAAAACAAGTGGAAAAATTCAATATAGAGAAAGAAGAGCAAGGAGATATTATATTAGAAGATGAAGATAATGAAGGGCTTGAATTTGGAAATGATAATGAATAAATATGGATTTGGGTAGGAAAATCTAGTGGCTTGATAATTTTGCTTTGTTTTGATTTTATAATTTAACTTCATAGTTTGTTATTTTGAACTCGACGGAAATATATATATATATATATTTATAAAATTAATTTTAAAAAGTTATATTGAATCTTACGATTGGATTTTCAAACTAGATTCAAAAAAAAAAAATTCTGATTCTTGATTTGACAACTGCGGAAGCACGTGCAAATCTACAGCTGACTAAGACATTAGATCATATCTAGTCATGATGGATATTATTTTGTACATAAATCAAGTTCATTGTTTTAGTACCACTTTCTTACTCTGTTTATTTGCTAAGTTTAGAAAATAGTTACAAACTCATTTTTTCACTTTCTTGCTTGTATAAATTTTCTTTTAATTTATTTTTTCATGCAGCAAGATGAACTTTTATTATTTGTTTAGGATGTTTTAACTATTGGCTTTACAATAATGCCTCTCAATGATCTTATCCCTCTCTCACTTTGTCTCTGCCTTTTCTCTTTACCCCCTTATCTCTTAAATTTTGTACCTCATGAATGTTATCATATAAGCTTAGCCGATGATAAATGAAGTTGTGTTATTGATAATTGATCAAAATAAAAGTTATAGAAGTGAATTTCTGTTCCTATTAATCTTTTTGCATGTCCTTAATTTTATCATTTCACCAACTAATTATGATTTGTTCAATATCTATGTTATTGACTTGGAATTTTTGGATTTTCTATGCCAATTAATTTCTTCTTTCCTAGTATCTTGGGATATGTGCAGGTGAATTGTGCTTTTGAAATCAACAGCCAATTGTTTCACTGGAAACATTGGAGGAACCTCACTAAGAGTTCAGGGCTGTCTTGGTGGGGAGGGTTAGGTTAGGTGAATATAGGAAAGGTGAAGGCGCCTAACTGTGCAACAGAATTAAGAAAGAAGAGATTTCTCAATAGTCTACTTTAAACCATAAAATGATAATATCCTTTGTATTGCTGTATTGCAACTTAATTCTTTCAACTGGAGGATTGGCCATATGTTCATTTAACTTTGGCATATTTTAATTATTTAGAGCTGGTTACTATAATATGCCACGTATTCAGTTCAATTTGAAAAAACAGTTGTCCTTAAGATGCTTGTAGGCAGTTACTTTCTCTTAAAAAATTTTTACTGTTCTTTTTGGTTAATTCAGTAGCTCCGTGCTCTCAGAAATTTTTTTATGCTTTGCCTCCTATACAAAGTGTGTCCTGAGTGGGCTTTGGTGAGGGTCGTGCTTGTAACCTTTTCTCTTGCAATTCAAGTTGTTTGTTCTAATGATTTGAGTCTATAACCGATATATATCAGGAAATTTCTTCAGTTACACAACTAAGTTGTGTCTTGACTTCTTGACTTCTTGAGATGTATATAACTTTTCATTTGAGTTTTGTAACTGAAGACTGCTAAAAGCAGCATAACTAATGCCTGATTCTGTACTGTAATGAAATAAAATGTTATGGTTGTGTGATTAGGTATTGGTTATCCACAAAATACTAGGAATACTAACTTTGTTGATTTTTTGTCACTTGGTATTCAATTCCTTAAGAAATATCTAGTGAATGCTGTGTTATTTCTTTCTTCCATTTGCTGCATGTGTTTATAGAATGCCTTTGACTATGAAGTTGATATGTTATTCAAACAGAGGAGAGTGTTACTTCATTCTAAATGGTTATTCGTGCACAGTGCCATCCACATGTAATTTCTGTGCTATGCATGGCTAGTGGGAAATGCAACTCACAGGCTGAGGCATCATCTAGTTTTATATGCAATTACTTGGTTTTGTAGAATGGCTTGTAGGAAATTGTAACATCATTCATGTTTTTATTGGAAGCCTGAAATGCCCTTATTTTAAAAGTTTGCTGAGAACATTTAATCGATTTATGTAAAATAATACGTGTCAATTTATTTGAGTTCTTGCTTTTTCTCTGTCTCTCAGATTGATTTTGTGAATGGCGAAGGTTAGTAAGGTGAAAGGCAAGGCTGGTTCTCAGCATCACAGAATGACTCCATATCCTTTGCCATCACGCCCAAGGAAGAATTCTAAAGGTTGCCACTCAAAGAAGAAACATTCAAAAGCTCTGGAGAAGAATGATTGGGAAGGTGCAACCTGTTCAGTTTGTCTGGAATACCCGCACAATGCAGTTCTTCTTCTTTGTTCCTCTTACAACAAGGGTTGCCGTCCTTATATGTGCGCAACTAGTAGTCGTTATTCCAACTGTCTTGAACAATACAAGAAAGCCTATACAAAAGTAACTTCAACAGACGAGACACAACAATTGAACAGGTCAGTGGACAATTTAAGTTTCAATTTGGGTGCAGGTCTGGCTAATGAGAAGAAGGAAGTTCCAGAGCTTTTATGCCCACTCTGTCGTGGGCAAGTGAAGGGTTGGACAGTGGTAGAACCAGCACGGAAGTATCTCAATGGTAAAAAAAGAACCTGCATGCAGGAGAAGTGCTCATTTGTTGGAACTTATAAACAGCTCAGAAAGCATGTGAAGGGGAAACACCCACTGGCACGACCTCGAGCTGTGGACCCTGTTCTTGAAGAAAAATGGAAGAAGCTTGAATGTGAGAGGGAGCGAAATGATGTGATCAGCACAATTATGTCATCAACGCCAGGGGCAGTAGTGCTGGGTGATTATGTGATTGAGCCAGGCCGTCATGGCATTTTCAATGATTATGATTATGATTCAGACGAATCTTTGGATGATGGGTTCTTTCCTTTGGAGTCCTTCAATCGAGGACAGAGTAGTGGCCGATATCACAGTGGCTTTCACCTGGATTTTGACTCATTAGACGAGGATGATTATGGGATGCGTCGTTCTGTGGCTACTGGTCCCGCAGCACTATCGGGACGTGGTCTCCACAGGTTATTACTGGGGAGGACAAGGAGAAATTGGAGGTATAGAGGAGGCAATAGGAGTCGAAATTTATGATAAGGTTTCAGCTATCTTAAATTGGCTGCTCTTGATTCGCTTGGCACTTCCAATCATGTACCACATGTGATGGTTGCCACTTTGGTGTTTACCCTGATGTGGTATAGATAGATTGATTGGTGACTAGTGATTTCAACAAATAGTAGACAGCAATTTTTAGAGGGACTTTGAATTAGGTTATTAATTACTTACGAATGACAAGGGCCAAAGAATTTCGTTGGTCCATTTCCTCGTAGGTATGGTTCAACTGTCATTTGAGCATTGCATATTCATTTGAATTGGGATGAAATGATGAACAACATTTTTCTTGATATGTTTGTTTTTCTGATGCCTTTTTTCCGACCTCGCCTAATTTACATGGTCGATAATTCTCTGGGAATTTTATATGTTATGTACAGCTTGAAGAAAAATATTTGGTATTTGCATTTTAATCCAGTTTGAGGCTTTGTTCTTGATGGTTCCCAGATTTGTTTATGCAGGTTCTGTCGTTGCTTTGAGAATTATTATGACAGGTAATGGCTACACTTATTTCTTACTTTTGACTGTTGGTTACGTTATTCTGGTCTTCCTATGCTCTGTTTGTCTTGCATTCTTCCCCTTTAAGTTGATAGTCATTTTAAATGGATTTGGTTCCAGGCCTGGGCTTACACAAATTCCTGCTTAGAACCTCCTTTACAATTGAGAGGCCCAATGGGCCTAAACAATACTGTAGACTACACAATTGGGTAATCCTCCATAAGAGAAATCGAATAAACCATACCTGTTGGCTTTGTCACAACTCAAGTTGAACCCACATTTGCAGACAACTAAAATTATTAATTTGTTTAATTATCAAGTGGGTCTTGGTTGGATATTTTCTGAACAACTGGCTGGCTGGTCATAATCTATATCTTTATTTCATACATTATGTGTATGCCAGCCAGAGCATATACCCACATTTTATATTAAAAAAACAATCTATTAGATACACAAAATAATTTCCCTTTCACTATGAAATCAGACCTTTTTGACATTTTACCAATTTTTTAGTTTTAAGACTCTAATCAGCATCTGTTAATACGTAACCAAAATCTGTCTTACTTAAGCTTAATTGTTTGTTAGTGTTGAATGAAATCGTTCTGTAAAAGTGCCTGGATGAGCTCAAAAAGGTCATATAAATAATAATAATGACGAAAATAATATCTCTTGTAATTTGGATTCTACAAAACGACATGGATATGGTGCCAAAGAAGGAGGGAGTTGGCCTGCAAATTTAATAGAATGATTTTTTTTTTTTGGAGTAAAGGATCTCAATAGTTGAATTAACATGGCTCAATACTGACAATACATATATTTAAATTCATGCATGAATTTTGTTATTTTAATCTTCTTGTACCCTAGATTTTTTTTTTTATTTTGATTAAACACTTCAATTTGCAAAATCATTATATTGTATACTTCAACTTATAAAATCAAATAAACTAAACACTTAGTAAATGGTTGAAAGATAAAAATTATTATTTCAAAATTTGTATTAATCACACATTAAATTAATATTTTATATATAAAGTTAAAAATTCTAAAAACTGTTATTATTCGTGTAAAAAAGTATACGATGCGATCAAAATTCTATAATTTTAGATGTAGGATAAGTTGTATTAAGATTAAAGTAATAAAATTTAAATTAATGTATTTGGCTAATTAAACGTACAAAAGTCAAGAACGGTTTAACCTTGAATTGTCTCCTTCCAAATCCAAAAGTCATGAGAAGACCGAAGCGACGAGCTCACAAAACTACCGGATGGTGTCTCTCTTTCAGAAATCATGCATGACATCTTCACTTTGATCTAGTTTTGTCTCATTACTCATGGCGCTTAAGAGTCAAAATCTTTGTACTCGAGTTTCGTTTTTTAAAAAACAGTACAATTTTTAATTATTTGTCAGTGACAACAAGAATAGTTGATGATAGTTCTTTATTGCTATACTTATATTTACAATACTCCCTTCCTTACGTTTGAATTTTCAGTTTTTAAGGCTTTTCTTATTTCACTTTAAGTGTCATTTTTCAGAATTTAATAAAAAAATAATCCATTGGCTCTATTGATATTTTTTTGTAAAAGTATATGGACTTAGAAAATTAATAAAATGGTATTGAGGTGATTTGAAATTAAGTTTTGTAGAATTAACGTGACTTAATCATTTCCTTAAGTGTGAGGAAGTTGATAGTTGACTGGAATTGAGCGATCTTCCTGAAATATAAATCAATTAAGATTTTTTCATGGGAATTAATTAAAAAATAATTAATTTTTTAAAGTATAACAAAATCAAGGGTAATTTAATCAGATTATCATTTTAACTTAAAATCAAGTGTAACGTGTGAAAATAATTATTATACCTAATATAAATAAAAATAAAATTGAAAAAAAAATTATTACTCTTTAAAATACTCAAGATATCTTGCATTTAGAGACAAGACAATTATTCTTAAACTATTTACATTTTGGAATAGATAGAGTAATATTTAAGAACGTAGGTTGCAAATAGTTATTGATTATTTAATTTATAATATTGTTTAAAATGGTTTTTTGTGTTTTAAATAGTATGTAAGAATGTGTATTGCACATAATTATTTGTTAATCCCTCCACTCCATTCCATATTAAGTGTGCATTTAGAGAATTTACCTAAGATTAAGGAAATCGTGTGAAATCATTAACCCTTAATAGAGTTAATATTTTACTAAAATATCCTTTAAAAAAATAATTATATTGACTCGTGAGGATAAAAGTGTATTTAGAAATAGTTTTATAATTTTTCTCAAAAAAAAAAAAAGAAATAGTTTTATAATGTTATTTTAATTTTATCAAAGATACTTGAAACGGAACAAAATTACTTGCTAAATGGATATTAATATGGTACGGATGGAGTATTTAGTTTATAATATTATTTAATATGGTTTTTTGTGTTTATTTTAAATATATAATTACCATTATGATAAGTTGTTATAAAAAAAGATAAATACATTTGGCATTTTCTTTAATTATCTATTGTAACGATAAACATTTGTACAAGTAAAAAATTAGACGAATTATTTTATTTCTCCTCTTTTAAAAGTATCATTTTGATTGCACACTAAGACATAATTCAACGGTAAGTGTATATATAACCTGGTAATATATTCAGGTTTAAATTTCATTTTCAATATTAAAAAAATGAAAAAAAAAGATAGCACTTTGATTACAATTTTGAAAACATTCGAAAAAACAATTTCTGTTTTTTTTTTTTTTTTTTTTATTCGGTTAAATTTCATTTTCAATATTAAAAAATGAAAAAAAAAGATTAGCAATTTGATTACAATTTTGACAAACATTCGAAAAAACAATTTTTTTTTTTTTTTTTTTTTGCCTCTGCATGCAGCAGCAAGACTTCCATGATAAATACAAGATTTCTTTTGTATATCAAAATTTATTTTGAAATTACTGATTTATGTTCTTTGATAATATTAGAATAAACAATATTAATTCTCTCATGAACGCTGGATAAGTGTATCTATCGGAATTCGTTTTCACTTCTCTTTCTTTCTCTCTCTTATTGATTTCCTCTCTTCATAGCCATACATGTGCTGTGGGATCCTCCAACATGTGGGACCCACGTACATTTGAAAAAAAGAAGAAAATGAGTGGTGTTGTGGGTCCCTCTGACATGTGAGATCCACACAAAATTTGAATAAAGAAAAAAAAAGAGCACGTTTTTATTATTTAAAAGAGGCAGCAAAATTAAAAATAAGTACGCATTCCTTTTTTTCAACAAAAGTTGGTGGATACATTGATTAAAATGCATCCCCTTCTCTTATAAATAGGAGAAGGTTTTCCTCGATGAAAATGTACAAAAATATAAAATAAAGATTATAATTTTAGGAAAGGGTTCCTAAAATTAGGAAAGAGAGAAAATAATGAGGATTATAATTTTTTGGGGTATTTTTTTTTTTAACATTTAGAGTGCCACTATTTTTGTAATCTCTTTTGTACCTACTATTTTTAGTAGAAGAATCTACTATTTTTAGTAGAAGAATTATTTCGGAGTTTGTCCCGTGGACGTAGCCATAACAGTTGAAGAGTGAACCAACGTAAATCTCGTTGTGTTTTATTTTTTTCATCTGGCATTTAACCAGTAATATATTTAATTTTTAAACTGTGATTATTTCTGGTGGATTCGATCTTCAATATCCAATACGAAATTATTGGAGGTATATGTGGTAGTAGTAATTTTATTTTACTTTTACCACTAGTATTTTTTCCGCAGGCCCCAGTCGGGATCAGTTAGAATCCCAACAACTAGTATCAGAGCCTTTGGTTGGTAAATTCTGTCAATTTTCTACAAAGTTACTATTTACGTGAATAGTAAAATTTTGTCAGATTCAGAACTCAACATGGCTAACGACGGGGCAATGATCAAATTAACGGATTTGAATTATTCAATGTGGAAATCCAGAATGGAGGACTACCTCAATTGCAAAGATCTGTATGATCCAATTGAAGGTGACAGTGCAAAGCCTGCAAAGCCGGAAGAAATGAAAGTAAAGGCAGTGGGAGAAATTAAAAAAGCAGATATTGGGTGAATAGCCAATGGAATAGATGCTTAGCCTGTATAATCTACGTGAGAGATGAAAAGATCCCAAGTTTGCTCCCTTGAAGAAATTAGAGAAATATGTACGGGCTACGCAATGCTCAAGGAAAAGTCCTCTATGCATGCGTAAAGTCATGAATTGACAGCTGTCATAAAAAAAACTAAAGAAGGGGACGGATCAATTACACACAGCCTTGAACGATTTTTGAGGGACTTCGTTAACTGAGTTAGCAGTTGTAGTATGGTTCCTTAGAGACGAGATGCAAGCATGCCTAACTGTTGGGACTCTCTACCGGATAGTTGGGATACTCTTGTGGTATCATATGAGTAACTCAGCTCCAAATGGTGTGGTAAACTATGTCTATAGTAAAGGAATAGACTATTAATGAAGAACTACGAAGAAGAGATGGTTGTCAGTACAGTTTCAGCAAGCCCTCACAGAGAATAGGGGTCGGAGCAAGAGTAGAGGTCCAAGGCATGAAAAGTCAGGTGGTAGATCCAAGTCCAGAGAAATGAGAAAGTGTTACCATTGCGTTAAGGAGGGTCATCTCAAAAGAAATTATCATTTACTCAAACAGGATAATGCAAACCGAAGACAGGAGAATGACAAAAATACATCTGCTACAGTTTCAGGAGAAGATAGTGAGGTGACTTTAGTCACTCATGATGCAGATTGCTGTCATGCTGGAGATGTAGATACCGAGTGGATAGTAGACTCCGGTGCTTCATACCACTATGTTCCAAAAAGGGAATACTTTTCCACTTATAAAGCAGGAGATTTTTCCACTTATAAAGTAGGAGAATTTGGGCACTATTAAACTATTAAAATGGGAAATAATAGTGTCTCGCAAGTGGTGGGAATCGGTGATAGCTGCATAAAGACAAGTGTCAGGTGCACATTAACACTTAAAAATGTCAGACATATTCCCGATCTTCGGTTGAACCTGTTGTCTGTGAGTGTAGTGGACAAGGAAGGCTATCACCATCATATAGGTGGTGGTAATTGGAAACTCACCAAAGGGTCTTTGGT